GCTGTCAAGATTATTTGATGTTGCGGTACCGGATAGGTCGACGGCTGCAGCCAAAGAGCTCCGCCAGGCTCTACATTCTCTGCAGGTTAACAACGAGCTTCTCCACGTTGAGATTGACGAACTTCGCGGTGAAATCGCTACTAAAAAACAGAGGCCGAAGCATAATAGAGTTCTCGACCTTCAACAACACCAAGAGTACTAGAGTCTGGCGGTGGTGTGGAGCCCTCGGGCGGTACGGGAAGCTCGAGCGCGTCAGGCTGTACAACACCAAGAAGAAGAGGCAGAAAAACTCCAAAAAAAGAGAGAAAAGAGATGCGAGAAGCCGCTGCCCGGTATAAAAAACAAATAGCTACAGAGGCAAAACAGGCGCGGGAAATTGCAAAAGTTGCCCGCGAGAAGGAACGGGAGGCTAAGGCTGCACAACTTGCTGCCGCGCGCGCCCAAAAAGAACAAGATCGGCTTGCTGCAACAACAAAAAAATCTCGCGATAAGCAAAGTACACCTAAACGAAAAGCTTCATCGTCGCAGAATACAAAAACAGCAAAACGTCGTCGTGTGGTGGGCTGCGAGAGTGGTGATGGAGTTGCACCGCCGCCCGCCAAGCCCTCCACCAAAACCACCACCCGCGGCCGCAATATAAAGTTACCAGCGAAATATATATAGACGGAAATATATATTACTACTTGCTCAATACTCCACCAGAAAATCTCGTGATGATAGCTTTTGTATGGGGCTCTATAGCCTCATCTTTGGTGGAGCACCAATTTTGGTGGGGTGTTGCATCCGCTGAACAGTTGCAAGCACTGACCACCTACAGTAAGCAAGGCAACTAACTGGGCACAAAAACGGCTTTTTGCCCCCCGTAGCCTACCCACTCTCTCACATACATGTATACGCACACACACACAGACACACACTCACATAACGGTAACGGCTTTTTTTTTGGGAGGAGGGGGGGGAGGGGGGCTTGCTGAGATGTTGCCCCCTTGCTCGCGGGCGGGAAGAAAAACAAAAAGAGTGGAGCGGCCGTGGGAACGGGTCACGGGGAACGTTGCTTTGTTGGGATATCGTTACCAGTATCGTCATGTACTGTATACAGTATACGCCCATCATCTCTGTATGGACGCGATAATGACGGGGAGTTAAGGGGGGGGGGTTGTGTGTGCTCGATCTCCATCCCTCCGTCTCTCTGTCTCTCTCTCTCTCTCTGTCTCTTTTGCATCCTGCCACCGGCCCCTGGCAACTTCAACTCCCGGACAGAAAACTGCCTTGACGGCACATATCTATCCTATCATCCTATCTATCCATATCTCCATACTATTGGAAAATTTCCCCTTCCCTTCCCTTCCCTTCCCTTCCGTTCCCTTCCGCTCCCCCCCCCTCTTGCCCCGTTTTCCCGTTTGCCGTTTCGTCTTACCGCGGGCACCCGAGAGTGGAGGAGAAGGGGAGGGGGAAGACAAAAAGGCCCGTGCTATAAACGAACGATAATGACGATAACGACTCTTTTTTTTTGGGGCCTTTTGCCCTTTGCCCCCCTTCCCACATGTACCCGCCCCGCAGGGTCTGACATATGTATGTGCCATGTAGTATGTTTACCGGGTGGACGGGAGATTTGGGAGAGCTGGGGGGGGGGGGGG